ATTACATATATTTATTTCAGTATTAAAAAAAAAAAAATGTATTGTACTATAATATTTAATTTCCAAGAATGTTTGATGTGGTTTTGTGTTCTCGCAATATTATTATTGATAAAATTAGAATACAAACATTGTGAAGCCTGCGGGTACCCATTAAATAAATTTCTGGTTTTATTAAGCTAGCTATATTATATATTTTAAGTACACAGGGAGAAAAAATGTGTATATTAGATTCGGTTGGGTATTTTATAATAAAGATGTTTTATACCCATACATTTATTTACCAAGTGTAAATACCACTGTATACTGGTATCCACAATATAAAATAAATACATTAAAAATACCTACACATAGTTCGTCAAAAATAGTAACAATATTGTGATATTTTCATACTCATATAAGTGACATATTAAATAAATTATACAAACATACTACAGTTTTTGTCACCACTTGACTCCCCCCAAAAAAAAATGTGATCTGGTAATGATTTGAATGGCTTGCAGACATTTTGGCAGCAACAAAAAAAAAGTTGATATGACGCCCCTAGGTTCGAGAGGAACCTGCAGGTTTTTGGGTTCGAGAAGTCTACGTCTGTCATCTGATATAAAATATCATTACATATACATGGTTTACATGGTATACATGGTATGCATGGTATACATGTGGACATGTGGTTGACATACGCCGTGGTTTGGCCCGGACGTACCGCGGTTTTTAGTTTAGCGTCCCGTTGTCCCGATAAAGTATTTCAGGACGGCTAATTTTCCTGGATTCAAACTTTAACAGGTAATTTATGTCAATATTTTATCATTGTGTCTTTTATAAAAAAATTTCTAACAGAAAAACAATATTGTTTTGATAAATTATAAAATAATCGAGACAGTTGAGTTGATTATATTTTGATCGACTGACGAAATTTATAAAAGTTATTTAAAATTATTTTCCTGCAGCAAACCACGATGACTTGGTAACGACAATTTATTATTACTAAATACCTATATATTATGTTCGTTGATTTCCTGCTCCCCCTTGACAATTTTAGTAATCCACCATCGTTAATTGATAATTTTGTCCGTAAAACGACTAACAACTAAAGTTAAGTTAGTGGTTGCCTTACAAATGTACCTATCTATTCGTAAAGTGCTGACCATTATGAGTATGGTATTCTATAACAGTTTATAGGTAACTATATTGTATACGAAAAAATATCATAGGTAAAATGGTAGGTGCCTACCTCCTAGACACAACTGTATAACCTAGCTGTATATTAATATTTTACTTTTGTTGAAAACGAATGACGTATGTCGATGCACGTGTTTTGCGTGTTCGGCGATGTAGTATCACGTTATCAAAACTGTAAATGTTCTATACTTAGATGATTGTAGACTAAAGTCACACAATATAGAAAGTTCCCGTCCATCTTGTGTAAACTTAATTGAATTAGTTTCATCGTCTTTTACTCTATATCATACGTAAATTAGGCTTAGTGTTTTGTCCCACGCCAAACGGTTTTGAGGTAATAACGCATACCTATATAGACTGTGCAATATAATATATAAAAGTGGTAGGTACCGACATGGGATTCCTGGTGAATTTATTTACAAACAGAACAGAACATCTCTCAAGTTTTCGATTATCATTTATCCTGATTCGGCACGAGTATAATCACCTACACAAAATCCTTTAAAAATGGTTGCGTCACGTATTAATAACGATCGACTGCAGTATTATAAACACGTATGGGCACGTATTCTGTACCATACACATAATAATAATAATAATGCCATAGTAATCATTGTAGATGGACCATACATAGTGGCGTATATACGAATTATTTTCACTATGGGCCAATTTATTAGTTATCACTAGTCAAGCATAGCACGACTAACATAGCCATAACCATACATTTCTTAGTGAGCTGGGTGGTTATAATTATGAGTCATAACAAGTCCTGACAATCTAACATTTTCTTGTTGATTCCTCAAAAACGATTTTAATCAACCACCTACTTTAATCATGGTGAAAAACTATATACAGTGTATATATATGTATGTATATATTACATGCAATGCTTTAATAATTATGGATGGCCAAACTGCGGCACGCGTGCCATTTGTGGCACATTTGTTGTTATGGAATGGCACACTAGAGTCAGATAAAATAATATATAATTTTTAAAAATAAGTATTATTAAATTAAATTATATTATCGCAGTGGAATTTTCCGATTATTATTCCGATAAGAGCAGTGGCGTCATTTCAGGTTTTGAAAGGGGGGGGGGGGCAAAAGTTTTGACCGGCCCATAATTAAAAAAAAAACCGCTCTCTAACAATTACATTTTTATCTCAATACAAACAGCCTTCTTACATAGTTATATTTATATACATACAAGTTGGTTATCTGAGATAACTGTGGTTACTCTAAGCATAAATAACACACATTTTTGAAAGATATACAACGCAAGTGGTAGCGGTCTTTTAAGTAAGAGAGAGAAGGCAGTTTCTCACTCTCGCAAGTGGTGATTTTGTTAGGTTATGTTCAAATATAAAAATTAAAATAGATAACATCCATTGTTTTGTTATTAAACCGGCCCGTTAGTAGGCCGCCAGCGGCCCGCTAATGACAAGGGGGGGGGGGCAAATGCCCACCTTGCCCCCCCACAAATGACGCCACTGGATAAGAGAATTGTTACGGTACGTGTGTACTAGTTTACTACAATAAAGTTAGTCGTATTAGAATCGCCGTGCCCGTGCGTTAACGAGTAGTTTGTGTCGTTGTGTGCAAATGTGCAATTGAACTGTAATAAAAATAGTACCTATGAAAAAAAATCTAAAATTTATATTCATGTAAACTTTGTAAACTGTAAAGAAATAAATATTTTTTAAGGCACATTCTCAATTTTGTATACATTATTTGGCACAATATAAAAAAAGGTTGGCCACCCCATTAAAGTTTAATTGAACCTGCAATTTCACTATGGGCTCTGGCCTAGGGGGCCTCCCCCTATATACGCCACTGAGTCCTGCATAATATTAAATTATATTAATTATCCGAGTTGAAAGTTTCAGCAGATAATTAATTCAAAAGTTTAAAGTTTCGACTTTGTATACGTTTACTTATATTTTATTATCGGCAACAGATATATTTAAATCAATCCCCGCTGCGCATTTATTACGCCGTCTACCTTATACCTATAATATAATATTATCATCACTATTTTATTTCTTTTTTTGACCTCTAAAACCCGTAGTAGGTAAGTATACACTGTTTCTACCTTCTGGGTCTGGTTAGTAAAATAATACCTACTTTGCTGCAAATATACCAACCAGAGTACCAGCTTTGACGCTTTGTAATATATATCTGTTAGGTATCGATGTGCATATTATGTTCCCTATGACATGATCTTATTACGCGCAAGTTCGAGCTGGACGGTAGTCGGTACTATCGGCAGTGACTTATTTATAGGTACCTACATATTCGTCAGTTAAGGGGGTATTTAACAGAGTTTATCAATACATAATATGACTTCTGCCTTATAACCCCAAACATGTTTATATTAGGTAGGTAGGTAGGTAATTTTTTTATTACTTTATTTTAAACTAATACCATTTTCTGAAATTAATTAAAAATATTCAGTCGTGTATATCGTATATTATGTATTCAGTATTGTAATGACAGTGGTAACGACACTTACAACACCAATATTTTTCATTGGGTGCGGGGAGTTGCACTACTGATTTGATTATCAACCAGTCACCTATGAATAGTATAATATATTATATAGGTACACACACAAAAGGCTGGGCAATTCAACTATTTTATTTAACTCGCTGACTTCTATAAAAAATAAAGCGTTATGTTAAAAGTTACTTTTCTTTTTTTTAACTTGCAAAGTTAAAAATAAATTACTTTACAAACAATTATATTTTTTTCTGAATACAATAATATAGTATATTGCCACAATAAGGCCGCATATTTGGAAAAAAAATAACTTAACATGACTATAAAATAAATTAACTGATTAGGAACGTATAATGTAGGTATATCATCGGGTTTTAATGTGAGTGGGGTTTACTATCTACGCATTTTTTTCTTAAAAACTTGTATAATATAAAAACAATGTGATTTATAGGTGCATTATTTTAATTTTCAGGGCATTACATTACCAAACTCACTTGTACGTTATTAGTATCAAAGAGGAAGTATAGGTACCCATATTTGTCTTGTGCTATTATAGAACATATTATTCTAGAACTATTGTATAGTAGAACTATATAGAAAACAAGTGTAAAATCACTGCGGGTCGCGGTGGGCATCTCACAAAATTATATCTTAACATTACGAGTTAAGACAGAGAATACACGTCATTCACATATCACGTACTTACACACTATTTGTGCGCGATAATACCTATTGTTAAGATGTCGACATTTCTAAGACGATCATTATACATTTTAGTGTAAATTGTGAGGTGCTGTTGGAATATCGTCCGTTTCAAACTTATTTTTTTATGGTACCTATACTCTTATTTGAGCCAACCCCTCCCTGGCTACGCCACTGGAGCCACATACCGTGTTCGGCTAAAATACGGTTCTGATAAATTATTTTTCGGCCAAAATACTGGTCGGACAAAATGTTCTACGTTGTCATAACTAATTGATTAAATAATGCAAATTTAATTTACAACTGTTGTGTAATTTTCTCCATGGTAATGATTTTATTGTAACAATAACAATGTAATGATTGTGTTTAGAATGAACATTTTCATATTGTGGGTTAGCAGAGAACGTTCTATTTAGACCCTAAACCCTTAAAGTCAAACGAAGTTTGTTGAACTCAACTGAAAAAAATCGGTGAATATGTTTTAACATCAATTTTTAATTATATGTCAATAATATTAGTTTTTCTCATTAAGTTGCAGAACGTCGAATTTAACTATATAAACTAATAAATAGTTTCAGTTTGATTGTCACGCAGTGTGTTTCACATTTGGTGAAATAAATATGAACCAATCACAAGTAATTTCATCTGAGATTATCAAAAAATCATATTTGAAACATGAATGCTCAAAAGAAGTCGCCCTCATACTGTCGTTAGAACAAGAATTCGACTGGTTAATTATAACCAAATTAAATCTGAGCCTTTTAAATATAGTGCACATTGTAGAGTTAAGGTTGGTTACAAATCTAGAATGTTTAACACTGTCGCATAACAAAATAAAGAAAATCGAAAACCTCGATTGCCTCATGAAGCTGGAAGAACTAAACCTATCATATAATAGAATAACAACAATTGAAAATCTCGACCATTTAATAAAGTTGAATATTTTAAGCTTGAGTTTTAACAATATTTCAGAATTGAAAAATTTGGATAACATTTCACAGTTACAGGCATTTTACATAAGCCACAATGAGATAACCGACATTAATCAAATATTCTATTTGAAACGTTTCAAGTATTTACAGTGCATGGAACTGTCAAACAATCCAGCTACCGATAATAATAGACAACTAATTGTCGATCAATTTCCAAAATTAATATATCTCGATAATAAATATATAACGGCCGAGGAACGCTCATTACCTGTCGAAACAGAAGTATTGGCAGAGTCTAATATTATACACAAAGCTTTTTTAAACGGAAATGATGGTATACAATTTATAATTTAATTATTTATACTACCTACGAAGATGTTGATGGTGAATTGTTGAGTAAATGGAACTCAACTGTTAAAGTAGCTTTTGAAAAATACAAGAAACAAATTACCGATAGTTCAATGGAATTGTTTAATACAAGTCTACAAAAGTACTGTAATGTAATACCTTCAAAAAATTTAAATATTTTGATATAATTATTTTTTTCAGACTAACAGTGAGAGATGAGCTGATGTTTTGCAAGTTTAAAATGAGTCATAACAGATTTGAAAGAAAATTAACTTGTATGAGCCGTGATATTATAAAAGAGTTTGAAGAAATAAGAAGAATAAGGATGAATCCTTCTTCCAAAGAACAATCAAGTGATTTTGGTTCAAATGAAACAAGTATGAGTCAGGATCTGGTTAAGGTTGACAATTTAAGTGAATATTTTTCAATTGATACTTGCATAACTGTTTCCGATTCCTCGATAAATGCATTGAAAATGAAATTGCACAAAACAAACATTTATATGAATAAATCCATCAAAACGGCTACACACTCATATTAAAGAACATTGGCACTAACAACTCCAAAAATGATTTGAGTTGAGTTATATTTCCTTATCATATCCGTAATGGATTTATTCATATAAATGTTTGTTTTATGCAATTTCATTTTCAATTCATTTATCGAGGAATCGGAAACAGTTATGAAAGTATCGATTGAAAAATGTTCACTTAAATATTGTCAACGTTAACGAGTGTGTAGCCGTCACAGATATAGATAATAAACTAGATTGCTAGGTAGTGTCGTAGTGATATGATGTGAAGTTACTATCCGCCATTTTGAGTAGGTCAAATGCATGCCGAAATCCCACCAAAATTTGAATTTTTGTTTAAAATATTTGAATTGTAATTTTTTTCGTTATTGATATTCATTTTTGTCACAATAAATTATGATTGTATATTTTCAAAAATACATTTTGTAGTATATAATTATTTAAATGTATGATTTAAAATTGTAAACAATAAATGAATAATTTATTAAAACCAGTATGTTGTTCTTTAACATATTATATTATATATTATTACCTATGTATATAATATATACCATTACGTACCTATATATAATATATATTACTACCCATATATAATATATATTATTACTCGTTATTTGTTTACACTTTTTTCATAGAAAATAGTTGTGGAGTGTACAGTATAGCGCTGTACATAATATGTTAACTCCTGTACAGACTTGTTTATACTTGTTGTAAATGTTATACTAGGCGAATAAAATATTTACTTTCTACACATGAAAGTTTTAAGTGTAATTTATATATGTATTGTTAATAACATTTAATATTATATTATATCTGTATAAAATATTACATTTTGTTAAAAATGCCTATGACGTGTTGTGTCGAAAAATGCTCTAGTATTTTAATAAACCGTTAAATAATGATTAAGAAGAAATTTAGTTATTTTTTTAAACCAGTTCTTTTTTGGGCATCGTTTATGGTTTCTGGTCGTGATTGGACATATTTTTTAAAAGGGGATTTGTGGGTGTCTATTTTACAATGGACTCAGTTTATTAATTGGTTAGCCACCAAAACGGTGGTCCTTAACGGTTGCGATTTGTGATGCTAAGGTCTTTGTGAAGGGAATCATTGCTGATGTACTACAGTGCGCCTGCAATTGGTCGAAGTCTGAAGAGCAATGTTGTCAATGTTCTGATGAGCTCGTGATGGGCCGATGTTGGAAGGTTTTTCCCGTGATTAAATAAAACTATTTAGTCATGGCTGATGGCTCTGCCAGTGCCGGATTAACGTATAGGCAGGGTAGGCACGTGCCTAGGGCTAGATAAAAGTTGCCATCAGAGGGGCTATTTTTTGGGGGGGGTACCAGTAGAAAGGTTTTTATTATTAATTGCTAATGTTGGACACAAGTCTAAAGATATGGCTGAAACTGTTTTAAAATTGCCGCGGTCAAAGCTATGGTAATGCGGCTAATATGTCTGGACAGTATACAGGTCTTCAGCCTCGAATCAAGAATATAAATCCAAAAGCAAAGTATATTTCATGTTCTGGGCATTCACTCAATCTAATTGGGACGTATGCAGCCGAAAGCTGTCTTTATGCAACACATTTTTTTGATTTGCTTCAAAAATTATTTAATTTTTTTCATGTTCAACAAACCGTTGGTCGATTTTGAAAGAAAATATTGGTAATTGTAAAGTTGTTAAAAATCTGAGTGTTACACGTTGGAGTGCACGAGCAGATGCTTGCAGTGCTTTATATGCATCTTATGCTGGTATAAAAAATGCATTGCTGTTAAATAATTCAAAATGCTGATGAAAAACCTATTTGCAAAGTTGAAGCTAAAGCTATGTACAATTTATTGAATACTTTAGAAGTTTGTATAATGATTTGCTTATGGAATTCAATTTTAAATAGGTTAGCTTATATTTACATTTTCATTATTATATATATTTAATTGTATATTAATATATTATTCTATTTTTCAATTTTTTGGAACTTGGTGACATTAACCATAATACTATGACTTATCAGTAATATAATTATTATATATTAATATAATTTTGTTTTTTTGTTTTTTGTTTTTTTTTTTTTACAATGGGTTATAAAAAAAAATGTTTGCCTAGGGCTATGATCGGTCTTAATCCGGCACTGGGCTCTGCCGGTCTCCAAATTTGGATAATCTAAGATTATAAGCCTATATTACGGCTATATATAGTATAGGTATATACTCAGTATAAAGTACCTTTAGCATGATATAATTAACGTAGTTCGTTACTTAGTTATGTCATGACTCATGGCTTTAGGTCGGATGTTGTGAAGTTCAAATTGAAGCGCGGGATCGGGATCCTTGAATAACTTAATTTTTAGCTACTGTTCTATGTTTTTAGTGAGTTAATTATAATTTATAGCTGACGAACATTTTATTAATACGGTAATTTCGATAGCAACTGTTGGTAGTAATTTTTAATTGCATGCCCTAATCGGAACCTTATCATTTTTCAAACAGGTGCTTATCACTTCCCGTGTGAAGAAAATAATTGATAATTACAGAATTTATGTGGGATTTTAATTTTTAACATTAAAATTTAAAATGTACAAAATTTTTTTTAATATATTATGTTATTGAATTTTGGTGATTGTTTATTACATTCTAAAGAGTAAAGATATGTTTGTCAATCATTTACTTTTTTAAACTTGATTTCATATTTAATTTTAAATATTATCTGACTAAATACTAATTTTCCTAAGTTAAAAAAAAATATTAGAATACCTACATAGTTTTTGAATATTAATTCTTACTAATCTTAACCATGGCAAATCCACCAAGTAAACCACCACGGGGTATTAAGACTCCAGAGGAAACTGTGAGTTCTTATTATTCAAATTACTTACCTATAGACACTATAAGTTATTTCAAATATTTCCTCACTTATAATAGTATATTTGAATACCAGTTATTTCTTTTTTTCCAACGCAGCTGCTTTTGAATCAAATATATAAAAATTATAAACGATTCCAAAACTACACATAATTTTCCATTGCACGAATGTATTTACCAAAACTATTATATAGTGTTTGGATAATAGGGTGGTACATTCAAAAGAAAAATTTCCATGAAAGTACGTCATAATATTATATTAATATAAAGTCATAAAAAGAAAATTGCTCATTTAAATTATTGATACGTATATTATAATATTATGTAAATATGGAATATTATGTATTATATCGGTCATTCAAAATTGTTTCTTATTTTTCTTTAGGACACAACAATGGTAAAAGCTATGATTTTTTTTTCAATTGAATGAGAGTAAAAATTTCCTAAAATAAATAAGCCACTATGAATATAACAATAAGTAATAACTATAATAATATGTCTTTTAAAATGTTGTATAAGTAATGCTGCAATTGTTATTCAGATAATATTGGGGTAACCAATACCACAATAATTCAAGTTCAAATGCACATTTTTGTAATGGTTTAAATTTTAAAGTACTTACGATATTTGCCTATTATTTGACCTTTAACATCATTTTATAAATAAATTTTATTCATAAATATTGTCATGGTAATGTTGTTTTATTATATATTACAATATATAGATATATATATATATAAAAAACAGTAAGCTGATTGACTGCTATCAACGCACAGCTCAAACCATTGGACGGATCTGGCTGAAATTTGGCATACAGATAGCTATTATGATGTAGACGTGCGCTAAGAAAGGATTTTTCGAAATTCGCATTTTAAATAGGTGCTCAAACAGGGACATTGAGATTCAAGATGGAAATTGGAAATTTTATTTTTATTTATTAATAGTTGCCATTGGTTACAGTCTACATTAGAAATAAGCATTTATTTATTGGTTGCCATTGGTTATTCGGGCAGATCAGGTACAAGCTTGCATCAAATCAAATTATTGAACATTGCCTACCAGGGTGGCTGAGTTGCACTTACCCTAATTTTTTTAAGAGTTATGATTTTTTACGAGCAACCAAATTTGTTATATTAATCCACCGTATTATATCAAAATGAACTTGGTACCTATAACTTTGATAATTTAGAGTTAAATCATACACTTCCGTACAAACAGAACGGGGTCCGCCATCTACCGCAGGTAGATTGCCTACCTGATAATGTACTGCTGCGATTCAGAATTTTTATTCGGGCAACGGAAAAGATAAGATAAATTTTGAACACCATACACCGAATATTGAATAACGAATTGAACAAAGTTTGAGTCATAACTCATATTGAGTTGATACATTTAAAGGGCGACGAAGTGCACGGGATCAGCTAGTATTATATATTATAATCGGGCCATACTAATTAATATTAATAATTAATTATCGATTATTATTTATTTTTATTATTATTATAAGTATTCACTCACAAATCTATTGTCTGGATAAAAACAATACTACAAACAATTATCCATCGATCTGTCGAATAAAAATATAAAAAAAAAAATAAAACTATCAATAATAAATAA